TTGTTCTCTGCACTTTATTTGTGCAGGTAATGATGAATATGAAGCTCATGATGTTTGACGAGTCTTGAGAGCGCTTTAGAAGATTTAAGTGTAGTATTCACTTAATTTAAATAATGTTATTAAATTTTGTATTTAAGTTTTTAATTCGGTTGAACTCATGGTGGATAGCCTTAACATCCAGCCAAGTTGAGGGCTGGGTGTGGCGTAACACACCCGTTTCCCATTATTATTATTATTTTCGCTGCAAAACTCCATCTATTTTGAATGAATAAATCAAGTTTGTTATCAATATGTTATTATTATTTTGGGCGGGAAAATTGGGGTGTTACAAATTGGTATCAGAGACTTAGGTTTTCCGAAAGGACTAGAACACGATGTAATAGGTCATAGGGAGAAATTCTGTCACAAAGACGATAACAGTCTAAGCTGGTTGGTGCATAATTGAGTCTTCGCGCTCATCCAACTAACTGAGAATTTCTCCTTGTTCTGAAACTTCGTTGTTCAAAATCTTTGATGAAAACTATGGTTTCGATGCGGGAATTTTCAAAATGTTTTCGTAAAATTAGGAGAATGAATATACTAGGAAAAAGGCCTTTCTAAGAACGCAGTGAGGAGGAGAAACCTTTGCGATATTATTGAGTTATGAAATGCATGAAATTCGTGCTTATGTGAAGTATGTGGAATAGGTGAGATCCTCTATATGTGTTTATCTGTTTAATAATTTGAAGTAAGTAGAGAACTTGTATAACGTAGAAGCCTTATGAATACCTTAGTACTTAGTACTCGTTCTCTTTATTAAGAACTAGATTCTCACCCGTGCGATGCACGGGACATTCATAAGTAGTAGCTATATCATATTATTTGTTAGCATTATTAGTTAATGTGTAGATAATGCGCAAAGAGTGTGGATGTAAGACACACACAAAGTTTTAATTAAAGAAAAAGATAGTTTCTTTTTGGCAATAAAAGAAAAAGATAGTTATGACCCATAATTGGTACGAAGTGTGTTTTGGAATAAGGAGTAAATAAATATTACAATAAGGTTTCCACAGATTACACATTTCGAAACACTTCATTGTAAAAAACATTGAATGTATGATAGATTTGTTTGTCATCTTCACCACAAATCAATATTTTCAAACTCTTACAATTTGTTACTCTCGATATACACTGCAATATAAATTTTTTCTACAAAGACGTTACGAAGAATTGTCTCTTCATTTGACGCTGTGTTCCGAGAATCTATTTCAATAACATCACAATATCGTTTGTTTTTTGAGTGATTCGACTCGCAATTTTTTGTTCAATATAAAAAACTCAGTCAAAGAAATGAGAGCGTAATGCACATCATTATTACTCAAATAAATGATATAAACGTTCCTCAATATGACTAAAAAAATACACAAACTTAAAAAATAAGACTATGTATATCTTATTTCTCATATAGAACTTGTTTAGTCTTGTCAAAAGAATAAATTCATTAGAACTTCTCAAATAAGAGTGAATGAGTACTATTTTGCGAATGAAAGAATACTATTTCCATTTATGAATGTAATCCTCATTTTAACACTATTTATGAAATTTTCCCTAAATGATATTATAATAAAACTTCTTAATAAATGATATACTAATAATCAACCAAAATAATAATCATAATCATAATAAAAACAACAACAATAATAATTTATAAAATAATGATACAATTACAATGGCAATCATATTAATAATAATCAAAAAATTATAATATAATAATAATAACGATGCATAACAACTCTTCACATATCAAATGGTTATTTATAAATGACATAAATCAATTTCAAATGGCTCAATTAAGATCTGAAGTTAAAATACCATAAGTTTTAAGTCAACCCAGCCCAATAATGTATATTAAATCACCCAGCCCATCAACTCAAACCTAGCACGCACTATTTAAACTCTACTCCCCCCTTCGCCCTTCTCATTTATCCGTACATCGCCTTGAGACAATCGGTTCTTACGATGGCAGATGTAAAATCAAAGGATCTTAGACCGCGTCTATTCCCTACATCTTCGTGGTTTATATTGTGATTTTCTTAACGGGTTATGTAATCAAATTTCTTTATCAGTTTTTCTCGTGCATGCACTCGTCATAGTGACTATCAACATGTATAGGTTCATACGACTTGACAATAAAATGCATATTTAACAGATTTATTTTTAGATAAATCTGTATTTTTTTCCAACAAAAAAATCTCCTTAAGAGATTTACTTATTTGTAGACTTGTATATTTCGTGTTCTTAAATGCGCACAGTTGTGAAATTTTGGATTTAGCTTTGCCTGTATCTATATTGTGATATATGTGCTCTTCCTCTAAACCCAAGATAAAATATGACTTTTGTATTTTGGATACATCTTATAAGATTTTTATAATTAATTAAAATGCTCTGAATTATCTAACTGTTACACATATTTCAAATGTCTTAATTTGAAATCCGCTTCATCCATGGTTTATTTTAAAAAGGGCAGTGCTACACCTTTTCTTTCCAAAAAGTTTTTATTGGAAATAAAATAAACTGAAGATGCCATTTAAAATTGAGGATTACAGTAATACGGAGTAGCTTGTAATTTGAACTCCTTAAACTACTTTATTCTTAGAAAAGTGTAAAACCTTGTATTTTCTTGAACTTTATCATAATAGACACATTAACTTATCTAAATTCTGAAATGTCCTTTGAACTGGGTAGCTCTGAAGTTCGTATTTTTTACTAAGTTCTACTAAACATGAAATTTGAATTTATGGATTTGAGTAATAGGTTATAAATTGAAGCGTTAAAATCTTTGAAAGAATAGTTCTAATACCTAGCTAATTTATGAAAAATGTTTGAGGGTTGATTTTTGAAAGCCTACAAATTATTGTATTGAATCCATATGATACTTTTTTCATGTACACTCACTCAAACTTAAATAAAATGACCCCATTAGAATGCTTCACCAAAAAGTTCTTGATTACATATACATTATTTTCTTTGATCTCGGATATGAACATTCCAAATCAGAGAGTGTTTTACAACTGCTTTAATGCAACCTTTGTCCAAAATTATGACATTGAGATCAAGTTTTTAAATATTTTAATTAAGTATTATTATAAACAAATCAAAATGATTTAGTTTATACAGTCAACATTATTATATCTAGGACCAAGTGGCAAATGCTAAATCAAAAGCAAAATATATTATTTGTGCTCTGTTTTCTTCATTTATCAAATCATTTTTTAGAACATATTACTTATACCTCAGCATAATGCAAAACCATTTCAAGAGTTTCCCCTCCCTTTGAGTCATGGGCGGATCTTCATAGGGGCTAGGGTGGGCTCTTGCCCAGCCCAGCCCCATTTTTTTATAATTATAGGTATATGTTTATAAAAAATTGGTGTTCAGCCTAGCCCAAAAAAATTCAAAAGCTCAATTAATTGAAAGTGTTAAAGATTAATTTAAAAATAATTTTAAGCCTTGAAATTTTTAATTCATCATAATGTCATATACAATCGAAGATCAGAAAATAAATTTTAATACAAAAGTTTAATGTGTTAATGGTCAAATATTTAACATACTACCTTCGTCCCAAATTGATTTGTAAAGTCAATTTTTTGGTCAAACAGTTTCATTTTATTCACTTAATTAGAATATGAATATTTAATTATATTCTAATTTGAATTGTGCAATTTTATAGAGATTTGAATGTAGTTTCTGAATAATATCTAAATATTAATTACTAAATTAAAGTGAGTTAATTATCAATAGAGAGGATTTAACTTTACTATTGGTTGACAAAAAAAATATTGACTTTGCAAATCAATTCGGGACGGAGGGAGTATGAAATTACCATTAGCATGTTACATCAAAACAATGAAATGAATATTAACCTATTACAAAATGGAGCTTGAATTTGCCTCGATAGATTTTCAGTGTTCGATTTGAGCGCTCGATAAACACGTTTGAATGTAGAAGTTTTGACTATGTTCATTAATAGATTAATGTTCGAACTATTCAATAAATACTCAAATCCTTATTAAGCATTAATAAAATTATAAGTGAATAAAATTATGCTAAGAACGTTTATAAGTGAATATATAATTAATATAATTCATTCTTATATACTCCATCCGTCCCGCAATGAACTTCCCACTTTCCTTTTTTGGATGTCTCAGAAACAAGTTCTCATTTCCTTAAATGGCAAGTTAATCTACATCAAAACAGTGTCAAACAGTGCTAAACAGTACCAAACAGTGTCAAAACAGTGCCAAACAGTGTCGAAACAGTGTCAAAACAATAAAATTTACCCCATGGTAATTTTATTTCCTTAATATGTGTGTAGGTCAAACTGTGAAGTTCATTGTGGGGCGGAGGAAGTAGTTTATAAGTGAACGATAAGCTCAAGTCCAGATCGAACCAATCATCACTATGCTCAAACGCAGATTGAATAACTATTTGAACTCAAAATCTAGCCCGTATTCGAGTTCAAAGCTTGTTAAGCTCGTGTCATTAATCTGGATTCGAAATCAAGATTGAATTTGAGTAGTTCGAAAAAAGTTTGATTCCTTAACAATCCTAAGCAAAACCATGCAGTAGCATTTTTTTACTGTTTAGCTCACCCCACTTATCATTTCTGGATCCGCCCCTGCTTTGAGTGTGGAGGCACCTCATAAGCCCTGACTATACGAACCTTCAGCGCCCAGCTGGTCTTCGTGTTGATGAACATGCCATTATTTACTTAGATTCAATACGGAATTGCTGGTTTGTTGATACAACCTCCACTTGGGTATTTATAACGGCTGGTAGGAGTATATTGTGAAGCAATTGGTTATTAACCAAAGGTTTATTACATACCAAATCTGCACATAAGAATCTTAAAGTACACTGCATTAAATTATTGTGTGGCTCAAGATCTAATCTTTGTAACCTTAGATTTTCTAATATTTGAAGTACAACAATATTAACCAAAGGATATTAACATACCATAACCGCATATCAAGATTTTAAAGCAGAGTGCATTAAATTATTGTGTGGTTCAAGATTATTTTTTGGAATCTTAGATTTTCTAAGATTTGAAGTACAAAGATTTACTCTTTTTCAAACATAGTCCATGCAGTGCATTAAATGTTTTGGTGGCTCAAGACTCAAAGAACACTTTTTTGATTTATTTAAGACAAAATTGGGCTTTCAAATGAGTTGTTTATGCCACCTATGGATAATCTGACCCGACCCGTGGATGTGACGTTTTTGAGCGGGAATACTGTTCATATTCTTCTCTTGCTTTTGTATAATAGAAGATCATGCCGCCGAGGAGAGACCCCCATTCAACCCCAATCATCGGGGAGCTAGCCCAAACTGTCCAGCAAATGGCGCAGCTCATCAGAGCAGCCCAACCCCAGAACCCTTCAATTGACTACGCAGCGAGGGTAGCCGGGCAGAACCCTCCAAAATACATGGGAGAGGAGGACCATCTTATCTTGGATGACTGGATTCGAACTTTCGACAAGCTCTTTAACTCACTCAATTGCCCGTCGGAGCAACGAAACAAATAACACAGAAAAAACAAATAACTCAAGCTCTTCGACAAGCTTTTTTTTTTTGTTTTGTTCCTTCAAAGACATCAGAAAAAAATAAACACTGATAACACAGCAAAATATTGGCAAAAAAGGAAATATAGAAGCAAAACAAAATAGAATAAGTAACATTGCGGCATAACGAGTATGGAACATTGTTTAGTAATCCATGGCCTAAATTTTCTCAAATTTATCATAACCATTTATCAAGCCACCATCCTCCATAACTTGGCACATCTCAGTGACAAATGAATTTGACAATTTGGGCTATGAGAAAATAAGCTTTAGTGGAATGGATATGGTTGAGATAAAAGCTATGTCCCACCCCCAACACCTCCACCACCTTCAATTCACCTCTCCACCCACTCCCATTCACTACCTTCACATAATCCATCCCCTTCACTTTCAGTCCATCCTGCTCTGCAATGGATACGAAGATCCGTGATGCTCGGTACCCGGATAGCGGCTCTGAAAACAGGTTTATCAACGGGTTGTCGATTCCGCCCGGAGCTGCCGGGTAGACGAAGCTCCAGTCCTTGTACCCGAAGCTCTCCTTGTCTCCGTCCTTGGATCCCCAGAAAAACGGGTGAGTCAGGATTCCACCGAAGATCTTCGTATTTTTTCCGGGTAGCTGCTCTTTTCCGGTTTTGACAACCATGTTATGGACTATGTTGGCGCCGGAGCTGTCGCCGCCGAGGAAGATCCGGCTGAAGTCGCCGTGTTGGAGCAGCACTGGATCTGGCTTTTCGGGCCGGATTGAACCAGGAGCGTGGGATGCGACCCATTTGACGGCCGCCCAGCTATCGTCGTACGCGGCGGGGAGTAGGTGCTCTGGGGCGAGCCGGTAGTCGACGGAGATGGCGACTATTTTGGCCTTAGAGGCTAGGATGTTGAGGAACTGGTGGTCGCCGGAGGCAAAAGCGGATCCCATACAGAACCCCCCGCCGTGGTACCAAATCAGTATCGGGAGCTTCTCGGAGGCGGTTTGAAGCTTTGGGAGATATATCCTGGCCGGGATGTTGCCGGGAATTGTTATGTCCCGGGAATAGACGCCGGTGGCTTGATCTTGAGGTGACGCCGGAAGCTTCCTCTGGTCTAGCGGGCGAATGATTGTGCCGTTTTTGTAGACATAAATAAGTGGAGGAACGGAGGCGGACACCTGGCTGCCGTCGTCGCCGGCAGCCACTGGCGTACGGAAAGAAAAGGTTGCGAAGCTCAAGAAGAGGGCAAGGTTGAACAGAAGTGAGGCCATTGTGGGTGTGTCTAGGTCTGACATTCATCACTATATAGAAACTACTCAGCGTCTCAAAGACAGCGGAAATTCCCGACTAGTTGAGATCGGACAGATTTGACAAGATGGTGGGGAGTTAATAAGTTCAGATCGGACAGATTTGACAAGATGGTGGGGAGTTAATAAGTTCATATTGTGGATTCATTTTTTACATGGTTGCATATCTAAATTTCGAATGTACGGTACATTTCTTTACGTAGGCAAATAAAATAATGCCACATGGACATTAAAATTCATATATATTTTAATTATTTCCATGTGCTACAATATTATTGATCCGCGTACGGTACAATCAAATTAACGGGTGCACCGTAGAACTCCCCTTTCCTTTTTTACTAGAGCATCATTATTCCTTTTTCTTTTACTTTTTCTTTTACTTTTCTTTCTTCATTTTTTTCTTTAATTCTTTCTTTTTCCCATCAAATTAAAATACTAAAAAATTATTCATTATTTTCAATACCTTTTTGTTCAAAATTCTTATATAAATACCCCATTTATTCCTATTTTAATCAGACATCTTTCAGCTATCTCACTCTTCTTCATACTTTTTATACCGTTAAAATTATTACAATTACAGTTATTTAAAATTGATGCGTTATTATTGCAGTTGTGTATGTTTTTCAATTTGCATTTCACAATTATTTATTTCAATTATCTATTTATTTTAATTAGTAGTCGTTACTTATTAAATAATTTGAAATACTACAAAACATAAGTTTGAAACATTGTTAAATCACATACTAAAGATATTCTGATTAGAAAATACAAAGTGAAAACTAGTAAATGAAATACATGTGATGGTTTTACCAACTTTGGGTAGGCAAAATAGAGGGAGAGCTGAAGAATTACCAATTAATGAACTGAGTATGAAATTTGGCAGAGTAATAGTATGCTAGAAAATCAAAACTGTGATAACTTTCCATAAGTTAGAGGGTGATATTTATAGTGTTCAAATAAATACTTGGTAAATTGGTAGAAGAAACTAACCCACTGGTCTATTGACACTAGGGGTGGGATCAAGATGATCCCGATCCCAATTGCCAAAATCTCAATCTCGTCCTGATCTCGATTCAAAATACAAGAGGTTCCTGTATCCCGTCCCAATTAAGTCGGGATCCTGACACTAAAATCTCGATTAAGTCGGGTTCCCAATCAGGAATTCCGCTTAATCCCGACAATGATATATCAAACATGAAATTATGTAATTTCTTTAGTTAAACACTAACTTTGATATTTAGTGATTTCAATATTATTCTTTGGTCATTAGGATACCATATTATCATTATCCACTTATAAATTTATAGTCATAATTATCATCTCAAATGCACAGTAGTACATACCTTTAGAATAATTTTTATTTATAACTTCAATTAATTAATAATATAATTTTTGAATAAGCTATCAAGGCTTAATGAAACTTACTTCAAAAATTATATAAAAATTCACTAAAAGAAAGATGTATAACGTATATTATTTTAAAATTCAAAACTAAGTAGACTCATTGAGAAACTTTGTTACCCATGAATATAATGTATATATACATTGATGGAGTATATGGCCCGGGAACCCCCGGCCCACAGACTCCTACTACTCCAGCAAAGGTCCAACAGGCCCAACAGGCCCAAATCACAGCGCCCAGAGTACCAAGCAGCCCGCAATACGCGCCAGGGGTGCCTTCGGCCCCCCGGCCGAAGACTCTAAATTCTCACAGAACGGGTTTCTCAAGCAAATTAAGAAACTGGGAGAAAACGACGAAAACAGTAGCCCTCGGCACTGTGAGCCCTCGGCACCAGGGTGCCGTCGGGTGGAAGAGCCCTCGGCTACTGCTCTATAGCCGAAGGCATCTCACTCGACAAGATATCCGCCTCACATGCGTACAGAACATCGTACCCCGCACAGACGTCCCATCCAACAGCCGCATTAAATGCGGCCACATGCGGCTGCCAGCGCCAACCCGTTGAGGTGACCCCTCGGCCAATGAGCGCTTGACACGTGTCCCTGCCCGGCATTTATTGCTGCTATAAATAGCACCCCATTTCCTCATTTGTAACCACGCTGAAAACGGCATTCATACTGAATACACTCTCTCTCTACTTTTACTTACTCGCTCCGACTTCTCTCTTAGTTATTCCCCGTAATAACCCTTCGGATATATACCCCCGGGTAGACTATCCATCATTTGGTGCTTTCATTGAGAGGTCGAACGATCAAGTAAGAAACCCTCCCCCTTCGCCAAACACTAGCCCTCTACCAAAATGGTGAGAACAACACGTGCCAACTCCAAAAACGTAGAAGACAAGAACCTGGCCCTCGGCGACGTCAACGCCCCCGAAGCCTCTCACAAGGCTCCCGAGGGCGGTGTCATCGCTGGGCTGGAACAGGCGGCTGTCGACCTACGCCTTCAGATCCAGCAGAATGCCCCCGATGCCCGCCTCGGCATCGAGGCCAAGAAGAAAAACCGGAGCGATGACCAAGTCAGCCCTCCGGTTCTCACCATCGACGTGCAATCGGCGCTCTCCGCCTTCATCCAGACGCTCACCCAGAACCCGGGTGCCTTCGGCACCCTGGCTCCAGCTCACCCTCAGATCGGGGAAAATATCATACTTCCCCCTCTGCCACACCCCTTCGGAAATCCCACCCCTCGGGTGAGGAACGACGAGGGGGTGGTGGCCCAAGATACGTCCTCCCAGGAAGTTCAGTCCCGGGATCGCCATAATGACAACAGGGAAAGGCCCCGTACTTCCGCCCTCAACCGGCTCGGAGGAGGGCCAGACCGCCGAGGGGTCCAAGACCGCCTCGGGGGGGAAGGCACTCCAAAGGCCCCAGGAAAGCGGGGGATCTGTTTCGAGGGCAGACGAGGAGCGTCCCCCTCGGGACAAAGGCAAGGCACCCCTTCATGCCGATGATGTTCGGCACCAAATCAACCAGGCCCACTCGGCCCGGGTTCGTTCGCAGGGGGCGGAGACCCTCCCGAAGGATCCCCGGGACGAGATTATTGCGGCCCTCCAACGCCGGCTTGACGAGATGGAGTCCAACAAAGCTCATGCCACCACCTCCACCCCTCACTCATACCTCAAATACGAGGCCATGATGGCCAAAATGGAGGAATTACATAAGAAGGTGGCCGAGGGCTCTGGGGAACCCATCATCCAGCTCCGGACTCGGACGCCATTTACCCCAAGGGTATTGGCGGCCCGGATCCCGGAAAAATACAGAGGGCAACACATACAGCCCTACAGCGGGAAAACGGACCCCCAGGAACATTACAGCAAATACCAGAACAGCATGATGATGGTGGGGGCATCAGACGAATATTTGTGTCGATGGTTCCTCTCCACCTTAGAGGGACCGGCATACGAGTGGTTCAACAGGCTGCCCGAGGGCTGCATTGATTCATGGCAAGAACTCGCCCAACGATTCTTGACACAATTCGCCGGGAGGCGTCGCACAAGGAAGCACTTCTCCCACCTCCTAACAATACGCCATAAGAAGGATGAGACCCTTCGGGATTTCCTGGAGCGCTGGAGAACGGAGGCCGACAAAGTCGACGGTGCTGATGATGGGACCCTCCTGGCCCTCCTACAAACCGTCCTCCGCACCGGCAACTTTTCAAGGAGCCTCATCATTGAACCCCCCCGCGATTACATAAGGGCCTTGCAGCGGGGGGACCGATATGCTGAGGCCGAGGAGGTGGAGAAGTATCACCAGCATCCGGACCAGCAACCCCCGAGGGCTGACAACAAGCATAACCGAGGGCCGGGGGCTCCTCCAAATCACCCCAAGGCTTCGGGACCCTCTGATGACCGCCCTCGGCAAGGCCAAGCCAAGCCCGGGGGAGGTTATAAGAGCAACCCTAAGACTTGGGCCCAGCCCATTCTTCTGGACCGCCCTCGGACACCATTGACGCACCCCGTCAGCATCATCCTCGATTTTGCCGAGGAGAGGGGCCTCGTTGAGCGCGACTCTCGCGCACCCCCGGAGGTACACGCTATCAACCCTCAGTTCCCCTACTGTCGCTTCCATCGGCATCAGGGGCACAGGACCGATGACTGCCATCAGCTGAAGACGGCCATCGAGAGATTAATACAGGCGGGGCACCTGTCCCAGTTTGTCCAGAGCCCTCGGCAGGAGGGACCTTCTCATCAGGGACCTCCCCGAGGGCACCATACGAAGGTGAACGCTTGGGTGAACCCGAACACCATCCCCCTCGGCAAGAAGAGGGAGATCGGAAAGTTGGAAGAAGAGGAGGAGGAGTACCCCCACTACCAGGAGAAGAAACGCCACATCCTCATGATCACCGGTGGCAATACAGGGGGCGATTCCACCAGCCAACGAAAGAAGTGGGCTCAATCGCTTTACGTGGGGGAAGTCACTCATATGCCCCCGGTAAAGCGACTGAGGGAGGAACCCATCACCTTCACCAACGCAGATCTCCCTCCTACTTCTTCTCCTCACAGGGATGCCTTGGTGATTCGGACGGAGATAAACGACACCATTATTCACCGAACTTACATTGACACGGGCAGCTCCGTCAATGTAATGTACCTCAGCACCTTCAGAGAGCTGCATCTGGAGAGGGGGTCCCTTCGGCCCATTAAGACCCCTCTTGCCGGCTTCACCGGCGACACTATCGATTCCGAGGGGGTAATAACCCTCCCGGTGATCTTCGGCGACGGGCTCCATAGAGCCCAGCTCGAGGTGGAGTTCGTCGTCGTCAACATTGACTGCGCCCACAACATCATCCTCGGCCGGCCAGCCCTCGAGGACCTCGAAGCCATCATCTCCATGAGGCATCTCTGCCTCAAGTTTCCCGCCGAGGGGGGCATTGGCTACTCCCGGGGGAAACAGAAAATTGCCTGCGCCTGCTATCTTCAGGTCACTAAGAAGGTAAGCAAGACGGAATTCCGTGTTGACACCATCACCGGAGCCGTCGACCAAGAGGAAAGAAGGCCGAGGGCTGAACCGGTCGAGGACGTAGAAGACTTTGCGCTCGATCCGGCCCAGCCGGAGAGAGTCGTAAAGATTGGAGCCCAGCTCCCTGAAGATTTGAAGACCGGCATCACCGACGCCCTCCGCGCCTACTCCACTGTCTTTGCATGGGGGCCGGAGGACATGCCGGGAATCAGCCGAAGGGTCATCACCCACCGCCTCTCGGTGGACCCTTCGGCAAAAGCAGTACAACAACGAAGGAGACCCCTCTCCGCCGAGAGGAGGGAATTCGTGAAGAAGGAGGTCGCCATGCTCCTCTCAATTAAGCACATCAAGGAGGTAAAATACCCCTCATGGCTAGCAAATGTAGTCC